AAAAGATAATCTGTTGCCAATCACCCATTCAGGATATGCTGAGAACAGAGCTGAAAGTTTCCAGAAGCATCTTTTTGGCTACTTCTCCTTCCTCGTTAGAAACAATATTGAACTACATACTATCTTGGCAAGGAGATGGTTGGATTTTTCAAGGATCCTGTGCCTATTACAAAACTATGAGTTCTTCAGCACAACTATTGTTTTTCTTACAGAGAAGCTGAATTGGAGAGCTAGCGGAGAGCACTTCTCTCTTGTTCAATGGAAGGCAGTGAGGACACCAGGCCCTATTTGAGACCTCGTAACATACTCTCAAAACACCATCTCAGATTTAGCCATTAAATGACTGCAGTAAACCAGACTGTTCTACTCTTATTCACAAATTTTAAACACTTTTCACTTAAAAAAAAACAGCACAAAAAACCCAGTTGGTCAATTAATTTGAATTTTGGTAGCTTTGCACTCTGGTATGAGTGCATCCTCTCACCCCTGTGTATAGAAAAATTCTCTGGGATGTGGAAGAGAGGAAGAAAAGACACTGGATGCAACCATTTCACATTTTAACAAGCATTGAGTATAATTTGCAACATTGAGTATAATTGCCAGAAAGGTGATTTCTCCATCTGATGGGGGTTGGGGGCTGTTTATTTTTTCCCTAGTGGCTGTCACAGGTCACTAATGCATTACAAATTGGGTTCCCGCTTACCATTTCCTTGAATTTCCTTCCTCTTGAAGTAAAGCATGGTTCTTGAATTATTCCGCTTTTTAAAATCCTAAGTAGCTACAGAACTACATTTTGTCACTAATTGCATTTACACATAAACTTCATCATCTCATTAAAATAATCTATTTTCGGGTGCACGCAGCACATTTAACCAAATCCTCAATTTACAACCATTCGTTTAGTGACCATTTGAAGTTACAGTGGCAGTGAAAAAAAAAGTGAATTATAACTGTTTTTCACTGGACCACTGTAGCATTCCCTCAGTCATATGATCAAAATTCAGTTGCTTGGCTACTGGCATTTATTTGTGATGGTTGCAATGCCCTGCAGTCATGTGACCACTTTTTGTGACACACACACACACACCACCACCACCACCCCGAAGCAAAGTCAAGAGTCATTTAACTGTTATTAACAACTGCAGTGATTTGCTTAACAACTGTGGGAAATAAAGTCATAAAATGGGACAAAACTCACTTAACTGGTCTTGCTTAGCCACAGAAATTTTGGGCTCAATTGTGGTCGTAAGTCAAGGTGTACCTTATAGTCTGCATTCCCACAGCATGCAAAGCAAGAATAAAGCCCTAGGTTAATTCTAACCAAGCTTAGCATTTTCAGGAAATGTAGTTGTTCCAGAATCTTCCACAGACCTGGTTAAGCATTCTTAATAGCCCCTAAATGCTGAAGTATGTTTCTCTTAATGAAAGCTGTTACCATATATTGCCACAGCTCTGTTTCCTTCTGAATTAGAATCTTTTAAAAACATAATTCTCACTGACTGTTCATCATCTTTCTCGTGTGTTTCCTACCTCAAAACAGCAGATGCTACTGGACGTATTCACTGGGGTTAAGCTTTATCTTCCCCCTTCTGTGGAGGGTTTCAGGAAACTCAAGCGTTATTTTGTAGCCTATGATGGAGACCTGGTTCAAGAGTATGATGCCACTTCAGCAACGCATGTGATGGAGAGGATGGAAGACAACCCAGCTGCTAAGTACGTCTCCCCTGAGTGGATTTGGGAATGCATCCGAAAGAGAAGACTGGTGACTCCATGCTAGATTATCTGATGTAAGCAAATGGCTCCAATGGGAAAAAATGATTAAATTTAAGAGACTCCTTAACCATTAAATGAGCACCATCTGGAATGAATCAAGTACCTAATGAAAAAATGACTGAATAGCAATCAATTTAAAATATTTCCACTGGTTTTTAATGTGTAGGTTTTTTTTTTTAATGAAGAATAGGAATAAAACCTTATCTGGAAGCTCCCTTCCCTAATTTTCACTCAGTGATACCACTGATGTTATCTAGTTGGGTAATGAAACATCTGCAAGAAAACAATCAAGCTTAGAGAACACCAAGGACTCCACATATCATGTGCCATAAATCATAATATGTTGTGCAGAAATTTTGTATGTAACTTTTTAAAGATCAATTTGGCACTACATAACCACGTGTTTCTATTTCGTTTCTATTTCTCAGCCCTTCACTACTTGGTAATTTATTTTATCCTTTGTGTCTGGATGTTTTTAGAGACGTTACTAGCCTGCATTTATCTCTTATGTTTTGTTTGAAGTGAAAAGCTGATTATTTTTGACAGAATGTTTAATGGATAGATGGTCTCATTACCAGACGGATTTTCAGGGTTGAACGACCATACCTGCCACATGATCCTTAACATAGTACTCTATGTCAATCTGGAATATGGTATCCAGTGGGGTACCTCAGGATTCTGTCCTGGGTCTAATGCTCAGTATTTCCATAAATGAATTGGATAAAATGACAGAAGGGATGCTTACCAAATTTGAGGTGACACAAAGCTGGAAGAGATTTCTAAATCTCAGAAGACAGCTTCAAAATTCATAAGGATACTGATAGACTTGAACGTAGGACCCTATACAATGAAGTGCAGTTCAGTGCCAAGATATATAGACTGACCAGGGGTGTCAAACTCGTGGGCCGAATGTGTCATGTGCTGGTCACACCCACCCCTGGTTTAGCGAAGGAAAAAAAGTTGTGATACAACACGTTACGTCGCAAGTTTGACACCTCTGAGATCGACCCTGGTTAATGAACCTAATCAGAATTTCCATCACTGAGCAAAGCTGCTGTTGGGTGAAATAGCATGTGACTACACCGCTTGGCGATGGTAGTTCTGGCAGTTCCAGTTGTGTTTGTTAGGCAAGAACCTCACACTTCTCTTGCCATGTGCAAACTGCAGGCTCCATCCCTCAGCTTCTTCCCCAGCTGGGTTCAGTGAGCTCTGTTCTGCAGATGAGTCTCTGCTGCCCTACCAAGTTCACCTCTCCTTCAACTCCCCACCTCACTCTGCCATCTCTGCGTTTGGCCATTCTGCACTCTGCTGCTACCTATCCTCACCATCCCCGGCTGACCTTCACTGTCTTCTTTCTTCCTCTGTTAATGTGGCAGGCTTGGCAGAGACAGCTGCTGGCCTTTTTGTGGCACCTCGTGGTGGTTAGCAGAGTGCAGGGTGCCCAAAAGGGCAGAGATGAAGTGGATGGAAGGAGTTAAAGCATATGTTGCCATCATAAGTGCAGCTGGGCTGCCAAGAGGCTGAATTTTGATCACATCATTCCAGAGACACTCTATTGGTCTTAATTTGAAGGACTAGTTGGTCGTTTGAATGGTAATTTGTTTGCCCCAATGGTCACTAAACGACTGGTTAAGTGAGGGCTATCTTTGTAGGATTCTAGACTTAGGAAAAACCATGTGCTTATATACAAAATAGCTGGTACCTGGTTCAGCAGTAGTACTTGTGAGAAGGATCCCAGAGTCCTGGTAGACCAGAGGTCTCCAACCTTGGCAACTTTAAGACTTGTGGACTTCAATTCTCAGAATTCCTCAGCCAGCTTTGCTGGCTTTGCAGCTGGCTGAGGAATTCTGAAGTTGAAGTCCACAAGTCTTTAAAGTTGCCAAGGTTGGAGACCCCTGTGGTAGACTACAGGTTAAACATGAGCCAACAGCAATGTATGTTTTGCTGCTGAAAGCACTAGTGCAAACTTGGGCTGCATCCTCAGAGGTACAATGTCAAGATCACTGGAAATGAGTGCTCTATTCGATGCTGCATTGGTGAGACCACACATGAAATATTGCACTGAGTTCTGTCACGATCTAAGAAGGACGCAGAGAAAGTGAAATGGTGCAGAGAAAAGCAACTGAGATAATGGTCTGGAGAATGAAGAATGTTTACAGGGTATGTTCAACCTAAAGAGGCAAAGACTAAAGGGAGACACGATACCAATCTTCCAATGTTGTCTCAGGGAAAGCTGTGGGTTTGTTCTCCGGAACTCCCATGGGTACCACAAAAATCAATGAATGGAAGATTTCAGAGGAAAATCCAAACTCAAAATAAGGAAGAATTTCCTGACTTGAGAGCCCTTAAGCAGTGGAACAGATTACTTTAACAGCCCATGTTTCATGGAAATTCACATTCGCCAGTCCTACATACTGATAATTAAAATGGAATTTTTTTGCAGGAGTTGTGACATTTTCTGAACTGAAAACTAAACACTGGTGATTCCACCCACCCACCCCACAAAATTTAGGACAAAATGGAGCATTTCATTCCATAGCGTTTTGAGCATTCTGTCAGAATGGAACTCAAAACAAGTTCAAAATAAGAGCCTTGGTGGCGCAGCAGACTAAGTGCTGTTAAGTAACACCAGCTGCCTGCAATTACTGCAAGTTCAAATCTCACCAGGCTCAAGGTTGACTCAGCCTTCCATCCTTTCGAGGTAGGTAAAATGAGGACCCAGATTGTGGGGGCAATAAGGTGACTTTGTATAAAAAAGAACTCCGCTTAGGGGGGGCCAAAAGCCCTACTAAGCAGGTATATACAAAAGTATGAAGGCTATTGCTTAACACATTGTAAGCTGCCCTGAGTCTCCGGAGAAGGGCGGCATATAAATTGAACAAATAAATAAATAAATAAATAAGCTTTAGTTTTTCAACTGAGGGCCACAAGAGTGAGGTGTTACAATAACCGACCTGCAGGAAAAATGGCCAAAGGGAATTTTAAACTGCTCTTTGCAAATAGTGGAAGGAACAGGTAGGTGGATTGTTGGATGCTCCTTGGAGTTTCATGTACACTGCAGACACAACAGGCTCTTGTTCAAACTGTTATGCCATCAAGACATGATCAAAAAAAAAGGATTGGTTTCCAGTTTTCATTATTAGTCTAAACAATATTTTGCCAAGTATCAAGTAACTCATGTTACACCTGAAACATATTCTTTGTTTAAAAAGAAAAGAGGAGCATAATTTAATAACACGTTTCCATTTTATTATAAAATTATAAAGCAGGACTCTGTGCTAGTGAGACCTGTTGAAACAGAGTTTCTCACAGTCAAAATTAACTTTCCCACTGTTCAGACAAGCATACATTGCTATATTAAATTTTTCTGGCAGAACAACAGAAATTCTCCATAGCTTAGTGCAGCAGCAGCAGTCTTTATCAGTCACAAAGCAGCATCACTATGGAGAAGGTTTCGCTTCAACAAAATTCAAATCACAGTCATGGAAAATACCAAATTTTGAATCAAAATAGGGTGGCAGTGGGAACTTCATTATACAAGTGATACCAAGAAAGAAAGGAACAAGCTACTTGTTTTACACATTATTGCCATCCCAACTCTTATTTATTTTTTTCCATCAGTGGAGAAGATCAGAATAGCCCAAGGATGTCAAACTCAAGGCCCGGGGGCTCCTTAGATCTGGCCCACGGAGCCACCTTGGAAACAGCAAAGGACTGTCCTGTGGTCATTCCACCAGCGAAAACGGGCTCCTGGGCTCAGTTTTCGGCTTCCAGGGTCTCCTGCAACCCTCTGCCAATGAAAACTGAGCTTGTGAGGGCCGCATGCGGGTTGCAGGAGGCCCTGGAAGCCGAAAACGGAGCCCGGGAGCCCGTTTTCGCTGGCAGAGCGCTCGGGCCACCACAGGTGCCCCCGACAGGAGTGATATCGACCTGACCACACCCACCCTGGCCCCCCAAGTTCAAAAACAACGCTGATGCGGCCCTCAATGTAATCGAGTTTGACACCCCTGGAATAGCCCAACACTTTGGGAAGGGCTTGTTAAGTCCCCACCCCTGTTCACATTGAACTTTACAAGAAATTTGGGTATTTTCCTTCTTTAGGTTCTTACCTCTTCTCCCCCCACTACTACCCGTACCAGAAATTTTCTTTTATGCATGATCAACATCTGATGTTCAGTATATATATGCCCCTTTATTCATTAATGGGCCCCCTATTGGAATGTAAAGTTTTTTTAAAAAGTCCTTCCTAAGAGGGGCAAAAGGAAATTTAAGAGCCAAACAGCAGTGACTCAAATAAGATTTCTAACATTAACTGAAGTTTTAAGATTTCCTACATGGGAAAAAAAAAATTTCCCACTCTGTCACCCACCATCCCAAAGAAATGGGTTACAAATTGTTTCCCACATTGGCTTTATACACAGTCAATCCATGTTGTTTAGAAACGCACCAAAGGCCCACCCCCTCCAAAAAAAGCTTTTTTTTACTATCCACAAACTACAATATTGGTTGCAGAGGTTACAGATATACATGTAAGGATTATATCTCGCAAATTGTTATCAAAAGCGGTTACAAAAAAGCAGGTGGAACAGAGGTTAACAAGGACCAGGGCTAATGTGCCAGGCATTTGGGATATTGCCATGCCCAATAGTGCAATTTTGAGGCTAAATCTTTGGAAACCATAATAAAGGAGAAGGTAATATATGTTGCATGTGCAAATTGATTTCTTAAAAAAAAAACCTTTCTTTTGAACACCTGTGAAATTCAATAGGAGAAGAGGAGGAAAGATTTGTAAAGCAACCTTTCCACAATAAAACTTACCTACCCGTCGATGCAACCTATACACAAATTGACTGTTACTCTTATTTACACACATTTCAGGACTTAAGGCAGGGATAGGGCGCTTCCTATGTTCTGAAATACAATTCCCTTGCTGCTAAGGCTAAAAAGAACTGCAGTACAAAACATCTGGAAGATACAGATTGTGTACTGTTGGCTTAAGGCAAACTAAGGCATCTTCAACCTGCAAGGCATTTAACCATTTGGGAAACAGCCAAAATTTAAGAAAGCACTTGGGCTGACTTGGAATTAAGACACAACAGTGAAGGAAGCAGCTGATATGAAAGTGTCACGTTTCTTAAGGCTTTTATACAACATGGGGAGAAAAACTGTCTTTCTGAAATGCCCTTGGAAGAAGATAGTATGTAAACAACTAAATGGTTCTCCTGGATTTCTTCCAAACCATTTTTTTTAGAATTACTGATTACCTTTTTTCCATGGTTCTTCCTAAAACAGTCCTCTCCGTCAGTTGTAAAAGTAGGATTCAGTCCAAGATTCATGGGGATTCATGAACTGCAGTCCGATAGCTAAACATATTTGCGTAGTCACCCAAAAAATGGTTTGAGACGAACACAGCAAAAGACCCTCTATCTTCAGCAGCCTCCCTTTACTAATGAAAAGACCCATTCTGACCCCGTGTCTCCAATTTCTTCACTTCCGCACTTCACTGAAGAGTGATTATAAAGAACAGAGTATTTTTTTTGTTTTTTTACAACAAAAGCAAATGAAATGCCAACGCTTGGCATTTAAAGGCAAAATACATACTTCAAAAAAATCAAGTAGTTGAACTTCTACAGAAAGCAATCTGGACATCTGCTCATCTCGGTGTGAAATACTATAGCAGAAAGGCAACAAATGCTAACGAAAGAGTGAAATAAAAGAGGATCCTTTGTCAAGGATAGGCCCTAATGTAGTTTATGATCTGACAGTGGCCTTTAAAAACACAACTGGTTCCTCCTTATTGTCCCAAATGCTAATTCCATAAGCAAAATCCAGAACAAATGTACGAGTTTTCCCCAATGGTAATACAAAACAAATCAATTATAATGCAACTTAATTGTCTTAAAGGCCACCACATTTTGATCGTGACAAAAATTATGAACAAACAAAAAACATAGAAAGTATCCCTGAGATACTCATTCGCTACAAATCTGGCAAAATTTCGTCTCCATCATTGTAAATCCTCTCCTCACTTACAGCCCCTCTTCATCATGTCACCATGGCCACTAAGGTAGGACACAGGTTTACTCTGTACAAGAATCCAAGGCAATAGAAGAGACAACTTTCAGCCTGACCCGCAAGGCTAGCTAATAAACTAAGTTTTTTTCTTTAAAAAAAATACATATCCAAAAAAAAAAGGGAATATATACAGTACTCTCCCCTTCAAGGATTTAGTCAAAGAGAAAGGAGAATTGAGAGAAGCAAATCTCTCTTCCTCTTTAGATCACCTTGTTTATTTACTCCAGAGGGGAAGAGCCTCAATGTCTTGGAAACATCAAGAGTTTCTTTATGCCCTGTCAAAAGCAGACAAAGAAAGAAAAGGCATGTTGCTTTCTAGATCTACTGAGGATGTCCAGCTCTCCAGGCACTGTGGTATAATGCACAGTATTAGTCGGGGTAGGCAGCCAATCACAGCTCAAGTCTTCGCAGCCCTCCATCCTTCATCTCACCTATCCTCTGTGGGCTTCTTAAGAATGGGGACTGGGTAGCTCTGGGACTGGTGCTCACTGTCACAATGGAAGAACGTTAGTCCTGCTTCCTGTGCTCTTAAGTCCTGAAAACATGGACAGCTCTTATCACGTATTGCCGGCAGATGGGACACTCATTCATACGTTTCCCACACTTTGTGCAAGTCACCATGTGGCCACACTCCAATAGGACACAGTCAATGACGGAGTCCATACAGATTTTGCAGAGATTTTCTTCAGAACCAGGGAGGGTGGCATTACCAGATGGAGCTAGAACGACAAGAAGAGAAGACGGTTTTTTTAGCATGGGAGACTAAAATTTCTGGCAGTAAGCAAAAGAAATAAGGAGTGACTGGGTGTGATTCACTTAGAACAGGGGTGTCAAACTCAAGGCCTGCGGGTTGGATCTGGCCCAAGATGTGGTCAGATCTGGTTCGCAGGACCGTCCTGGAAAATGTAAGGGGCCGTCCCGCATCTCTTTGGCCCTGTCTACCCATGTCGCTCTGGCCCAGTCTACCCAGTGCAAAGAGGAAACATTGGGCCAGCAGTTTGCAGAGTGGCGTCAAACTGACCATGCCCACCCAGCTGGCCATGCCCACCTGCCCCCCCCACCCAAGGGCAACCACAGCCCCGATGTAGCCCTCAATGAAACTGAATTTAACACCCCTGGCTTAGAACATCAAAAACAAGGTAATAAAGTGTACCCTGCTTGTGATGCCGATCCTCTGTCTCTACCTACTGCTTTAGGAAAGATTGCATGCTACCAACTCAGACATTTCTGCCTGCTTTCTTTATTTTCCAGATATTTTCTCCTAGGTGCACCCCAGCTCCTCAGCATGTATTTTCCCCTTCAGAACAAAGGTGGGTAGGAATAAGCATGACACACAGATACACAATGCCTCTCCTTTTCCATGTATTTCTCTTTTGTGACTATCTCCATGGCGGCACAGTGATTAAAATGCAGTACTGCATGCTACTTCTGCTGACTGCCAGCTGCCTGCAATTTGGCAGTTCGAATCTCACCAGGCTCAAGGTTGACTCAGCTTTCCATCCTTCCAAGGTCGGTAAAATGAGGATCCAGATTGTTGGGGGCAATAGGCTGACCCTGTAAACCGCTTAGAGAGGACTGTAAAGCATTGTGAAGCGGTATATAAGTCTATTTGCTATTGCTATCTCCACATTCTGCAAGTTTCAAGACTATATGGCATGGTTCTTGAACAAGGCCATATATCCAGGAAACTGAGAAGCACATGGGCTTATATAAGGCATGCTTAACCATGCCTACTGTAGATGAATTCATGCAGCATACTAAGCTCCATTAGAGTTGATTTTGATAAAGTTCATAAATTCATGTACTATGGAAGTTTACTTCAATCCTCGGCCTAGTATAAGATCCATCTCTGCATTCCTGACAGATGATCTTTCAGCCTCTGTTTAATGACCTCTAGAACTCATTACTTCCTATGGCAACCCATTCCATTGATCTACAGTTCATACAGTTTGATTTTTTTGGAGACCTAGCTATGTTATGGAAAACCAGCCTGTTAATCTATGATTCAATGCACCGTGTGAACTTAGAAAATGAATTAATTCAGTAATGCTAAGAGCACCATGCATTTTTTTTCTTCTGTCTAAAATGCTATTATACTAATTCATGTGCATTTGTCCTATAATTTTGAACTGCTCCATAGGCAGAGAAAAGGTGGCCCATCTAAAGTAATTTCTGGAGATTTCATGAAATACTTTGTCTATAGTTTTCCATTCTCCTAATATACAATATTAATGTATATAAAATGCATTTACACATGAGTGTGTGTGTGTGTGTGTGTGTGTGTGTGTGTGTTAGCAGCATAAACACTAAAGCATACATACATTTATTGGCTCAAATAAAAAAACCAAATTACATTGATTTAAGACTACCAACTTTCCTGGAAGACAATAAGTGTTCCTGTTTAAATAGTTTCAGCCTACAATGTTGAGAAGATGAAAAAGAACATGCTTACCAGTTTGATCATCAGCATCTGAAACTGAATGAGAAAAGAAAAAAAAAGCATGAGTTTGAGATATTTGCCACAGGATGCAAGGAAAATTAATGGGCTGCCGTTTTACACTCCAACCATCACCCTACTTTCTACCTTTCCACTTCCCACTTTTTAAGGGATCGGATAAAAAGTGGAAAATGTTACTTGGGAGAAGGAGAACCCCGGTTATTATTGTATTTGTGACCGTCGAAGGAGAAACAAACCTTTACCATTTTGTTTGGTTAAGAGGCAACGGAGTGAAATATTGCAAGAGCCCAAAGAAGCCCTGGTTGCATTCAGGCCACAGCCTGAACCTGAACAATGAATTCTTCTTCTGACTTTCCACTATATTTAAATTATTAAGTTAAATTACAAAAGCAGAGGTTTTACGGCATGAAAATCTACTGAAGGTTAATATTAACCAAGCTTATCAGATTTAAATCAGTCTAGCATACGTACAAAAGTATCCGCCAGATTGCTTGACCTGGTTAAGCGTGTTGTATAAACACAGCTATTGAGGTGTTACGGTGCCAATGTTCTCTCCATGTCAATGAACATAAACCAACCAAAGGAACTGCTTTCTCTATAGGCCCGCTGCAATTTTAAACTCCACATAATCCCACCTAACCGTCATTAATATACACAAATCAAAAGCAATGAAGGAAGGAATTTCATACCCAGCTGCTGGAGGTCCTTCTCTTTGTAAAGGCGGGTCACTCTCTCCATTAGCTCCCATTTCTCACAACAGCCCTTGTAGTTAACAAAGTTGCGAGCCAGGATCTCTTTCAACTGCCTTACCGAGAGGGCATCGATATCTCTCACGCTTGTTAGGTCAGAGAGAGATGCCCTCCGTCCCGTAACTAGGTTATCTTCTGAATCAGTGGACTGAAATAGAACAAATGAAACATTCACCACAGGAATGAAGTCAAGCAACCAAGACCAAAGTTAAACACAACTTTTTGAATAAAAAAAATAAATAAAAGCTACAACAGAAAAATAATAATAAAGCCACAACAGTAAGCCATAACAACAATCTCTTCGTTGGGCTCAATACCCACAAATGAGGGCTTGGCCATCTTCCATAAGGACGTCCCATCCTGCGTGTCCCAACAACATTAACAACTCCAATACAGGTAGTCCTCAACTTATAACAGTTCATTTAGTGACTGCTCAAAGTTACAATGGCACTGAACAAAAGGGACTTAGGGCCATTTTTCACACGACCATTGCAGCATCCCCATAATCAAAATTCAGATGCTTGGTAACTGACTCGTATATTTATGACGGCTGCAGTGTCCCTGGGTCATGTGATCCTTTTGCAACTTTCTGACAAGCAAAGTCAATGGGGGAAGAGAGATTCACTTAACAACCATGTTACTAACTTAACAACTGCAATGATTCACATAACAACTGTGGCAAGAAAGGTCATAAAAGTCACTTAACAAATGTTTCACTTAGCAACATAAATGTTGGGCTCAATTGTGGCCGTAGGTCGAGGGCTGCCTGTAGATAGTTCCACATCATCTAATGGGACCCAGGACTTTTTTGTCACTGCTCCTGCCATTTAGAACAGCATCCCTCTGAAGATTTGCATGTGCCAATACCTTTCCCAACTTCCTTTAAAAAAAAAAAAAAAAGACTTTTCCCCCAGGCCTTTGGTTCAGATGATTTGGGCGGAGAGGGGGTGGTTGCCTTTAATCAGGGGTTGGGGTGGGGGAGTGGACTGCAAGGATGTGTTGTTGTTCCCTCAGATGGTTAATGTTTTATGTATGGATGTTATTTTATGTAATATTGTTTCTTTTAACTTTGTGAAGTCTCCCCGCAAGTTGTTTTGGAGTCGAGTGGTCTAGAAATTGATAAATAAATCAAGAAAAACAAAAACCCATGTTATTCTATCACATGGTAAAATTTGACCTGCTTTTGAGGGTCAATACTGGCTTTAAAAAGTATGATTTTTACAAAAGGCTGTGTCTGTAAACGGACATACATCTCGCCTGGCATTTTGAAATCAGAGCAGCACAGAACATGCTCCATTGTTGGGGTTCAGCAAATGGGAAGCAAGAATGCAGGGGAGTACTGGGATTACCATGTCTGAAGAGGGCAGTTTAAGTGTTGCGTAGCTGATGCTGCTGATGGAATTAAGCTGCTGAGGGGGGTTTTTTTTTAAGCCACATAAAAGAATCAGGAGCAGATCCTACCTCTTCCAGCTCCATGCTGGCACTGATGTTGTTACCTAGTTTGGTAATGAAATGACTGCAAGAAAGCAACCAAGCTCAGAGAGCACCAAGGACCCCCACAGTTCAACCCTGAGTTACAAATATTTTTTTATCGGTCTTCCAGGTCCAAATCTATTACAGAATTGCACTTCTTTTCATTTCAAAGCATGTAATTATTTCCATAGCATTCTCTGCACGTAAGGGACTTCATCCATTTCTGATACCACGGTTAGCACTAGAATGTTGACACCCATTGCAAGATACAGCCTTCCCCCTTTCGGCCTCTCATCCCTGAAAAGTAGGCCGTGACCTTCCCTTACCTGCGTCTCTTCCTCAGGCAGGTTTTGCACTGCGCTCTCAACTTCTGCCATATCGTCCTGGCTCGGCAGCACATGCCCATTTGCCTAAGAAGAAAAAGTGTAACTGAACTGTTCAGAAAATTTGGGGAGGAGGCTTTCCTTCAGCTGGCCTTCACTTGGCTCACTCAAGGGATCATCGAGAGCCCAAGAAAATGCTTAGGCAATAGTGAGAAGGCAGACAATCCTCAGTACTTCAAAACCGGGCAAGGAATTTTGCTTTAGGTTAAGATCCTCACCTTGTTGTTGGCTAAGCCCTGTTAGGACTGCCTTGGCTCACGTAGGAAAGCCCTTGGGTGGTATCTCCAAGGAAGCAGAGCCAGGACAGTCATGATGGAGCTGTAGGGAGCTAGCAAGAGACGTGCTATGAAGGCCTGGCTCTGCTCTGCTACCTTCCATTGTGACACCACGTGACATCATGGAGAATGCAAGGCATTTTTTATGACACAATACCACAGCCCCACAAATGCCCTCTCTCTCTGGAAGGTTAGCCATGCATTTCCCACACCAAGGTCTGAAAAGAATGAAGACCTGCCAATTTAGGATTCCCTTGACTAAGAGCATCCAGCCACCGTGAAGTCAAACAAGGTTAGAACAGAAGAAACTCGTTTTAACCAAAATTGGGAGGATGGGAGGAGTTGCAGAATGTGGAAAAACTTTGACATGACCTGGGCAAATGGAAGAGGACATTTTTAATCATAAAGGTTGTAATTCCCTTCATGCATTCAGCCCGGGAAGATAAACTTTTATGTAATCTACTCTCTGGAAAAGTAAAAGGTTAAAAGTCTTCTGTAGGGAAGCTCTAAGCTCAATGCAAGCCTCTCCCCTTCTGTTGGCAATAGGCCTTCATAGTAATAAACCCATAAAAACTGGACAGGTATTTCATGGAGGGGGAAGCAATTTTGTGCAGATGATACAAACACAAATATACTCTGTTAAGACTAAACACTGGCTGGAAAAATAATTTCTTCATAAGATTCTCAAAACCTGCTTACATCTCATTCCCAGGATGGGAGATGATTTTGCATTATTTTCTCTTAGAAGTGTAAAAAAAAAAAATCTTAGGAGGTATAATTAAGAGCAGGATGGGGTGGGGGAGGCAGAATCCACCCAATACTGAATTGCTAGACTTCCCATATCTCTGCCATTACTAATTCTTTTAAAATGAAAAGTAGACACAGCAGAGCCTTTCCCAGTCCCTCAGCTCTAAAAACAGGAGAGAGGTAATGGCTAAGCCAACAGGGATCAGAGAAACCTAGCTAAATTGAAGACCAATTTTAAAAGCATTTCAAAATTAAGATAACTATCTAAAGCACGGGTGTCAAACATGTTGTCATCATGGGACATTTTGTGACTTTTCCTCCTTCGTGGAGTGGAGTGGGCGTGGCCTGCACGTGAACCATCCAGCCTGTGGGCTGCCAGTTTGACACCCCTGATCTAAAGTATTCCAGGATTACAGCAAATGCCTCTTATAAATTAGCCTTCTTTTAATTGAAGATGGCGAGAGTGAACCTGGGAATTCTGCACAAAAAAGTACACATTCCAACTATCTATGTTGAGCCACGGTGGCATGGTGGTTAGAGTGCAGTACTGCAGGCTACTTCTGGTGACTGCTGGCTGCCTGCAATTTGGCAGTTCAAATCTCACAAGGCTCAAGGTTGACTCAGCCTTCCATCCTTCCAAGCTGGGTAAAAGGAGGACCCAAATTGTTGGAGGCAATATGTTGACTCTGCAAAACCGCTTAGAGAGGGCTGTAAAAGCACTGTAAAGTGGTATATACAGTAAGTCTAAATCCTATTGCTGCCTATTTTCCACTCCCACTACATTATATAAGCCCTTTTTTTCAAATTCCACACTCAAGCAACATTATCACATCGGACAACAGCAGCCAACAGGACCTTGAGCTAAGACACGTAAATGTATCCTGGTACCAGGGTAGCAAAGGTATCCCGTACCTGTGGATGCTCCTCACTCTGTAAGGCAGGATTGGTGGAAATTTGCTCGGGAGAGTAATCCAGTGAAACTGGTGTCATTGTACACTCCTCTGGGGCAACGGAAACTGGTGCTGGGTGAGGAACCCGGGTGACCCTCTCCCTTTGGGGATCCAAGGGCTGCTGACTGATGATCAAGCAGACCAGCTCATCTTTTTCACGGCACATCTCCGTGGAGATCTCCCGGAGCTCCAGATAATCTCGCAAGTCCTTCACTTTCATTTTGATGAGTTCTTCCCGCTGAAAAGCTGTAGCTCGGAATCGCTCACAGAGGTGGCAGAGGCAGGGACCACTCTCGGGCTGGTGCGAACAGGAAGGGCAGAAGTTTTTTTTGCAATCCAGGCAGACGCGCTGCTCAGGAGGGGAAGAAGAGGAGAAAGAACGTCAGGGGGAAAACCTTTGAGCAGAGAAACCACAGCACAGAATACATGTCTGCATTCTCTCGTGACACCGTCCTTATGAATATCGAGAGCACGCAGGCCTGTGAATCATCAGAAAGACGCAGGCATGCTAACCATCTTCCCATCAATCCCCAGAAAGAGAAAAAAACCCATCAGATTCCCACATTCTGGTTTGGCATGATTTAAGTCATGAGAAGCCAGTTTCACAGCACCACCTTCTGTGAGGCAAGAAGGGTGCGGGGAGGCCTGCTCAATTTTCTAGTCTAGCTACTCTGTTAGTCGGTAAACATCGGTTGGTTGCTGCTGCTCTCTGAAAATATATCCTGATGGAACATTTAGCACTTCACAAGAAAACACCAATATTAGATCCAACTGCAGAAATGCACAACTCAATCAAAAGTGGAGTAAGCTCTATTCAAACTGTAGCTCTCAAAGCTGTTTTGATTATGCGTAGCTTGAAGGGCAAGCAGAGGAATGAGGAGAGAGAACATAGAGAAAAACCAAAAGGATGAGGCAGGGGTCAGCACAGCAGGGCAATGGACAAAAGACCCATGCTGAGGCAGAAACAGCAATGGAACACTTACACTGAAAAAACTAACTGGCAGCCTCTATTGACTGAAACTTATTTATCACTATATATGGGTTGGAATTCAGTTAGTGCCTGGGATTCCATTACTGGTGTTTTTTTTTAACAGCAGCAAACAAACTTGCAGTGTCCATAAAAGTATCCACATTTACTGCCATGATGCCCCTTTGTCTTCTCAAGAATACTTTCGGAGCCTGGCAATATTACTTAACCTCTCTTACTTTTGTTATTTTACATTACGCTATTTTTATTTAATTATTATAACTCATTAAATTCATTATTCGCATTCCTGCTATTTTGCATAAACTCTCTCCAGCTTCTCATTCTGGTATCTTGCTGCCTGCCTTCCATCAAATTCTTTCCTTAGGCGCTGATTCTACCATTGGCCCATCCTCCGCCTCAGGGGTCGCCAAACTTGGCAACTTTAAGACTTGTGGACTTCAATTCCCAGAATTCCTACCCAGCCAAGTTGCCAAGTTTGGAGACACCCTGCTCTACCTCACATAATGTACAGGGCACATCAGGGGTGGGTTCTAAAAATTTTTACTACCGGTTCTGTGGGCGTGGCTTATTTTATGGGCGTAGCTTGGTGGGGGTAATGTGATGGGGTAGGCGTGGCCAACTTTTTTTTTTCTTTTAAAAGCATTTTTTCTACAACCTTAAGAGGTTGTAGAAAAAATGCTTTTAAAAGCCTCTGACGATCCCAACTGAGCCAAGCGATCATCAGAAGCTTTTTTTTTTTTTACTTTTAAAAGCATTTTTTCGACCGAAGAGGTTGTAGATAAAATGCTTTTAAAAGTAAAAAAAAAACCCCTCTGATGAGGTGGGTGGGGTAAGCGAGTGGCGACCGGGCTGGGGACCGGTTCAGGGGCGTGGCCAGCCAATGTTATTACCGGTTCGTTGAACGACTGCAAATTTTTATTACCGGTTCTTGCAAACCGGTGCAAACCGGGGTCAACCCACCACTGGGGCACATGCCTATTACAACTTCCCACTCGGTGCCTCACATACAAAGTTTCAAGGGTCATAGGCATAACAAATACGCAAAAGTCTCATGCAGTCTAGAACTCTTTGCCAAATTTGAACACTTGTACATTTTTCAACTGCCAAAGTGTGGGCTTTATTTCTAGTGCAAGGCAATGGGTATAAGTCACTGTGTTCCTCCTGAAACAAAATTAAGCACTTGATTCATCGGGAGCACAAAGCAATCAAAAAGTTTTGTTTCCTTACATCCATAAAAGCATTTCCCAATAAAAAAAATTCCCCAATTGGGACCCAAATGGGGGAATACCACACTGAAGATGGCTACTACATTGATAGCAAAACCCACCTGCCCCCTTCGTTCCCAGCTTCTTTCCCGCCCATCTTTTATTCTCACTTAGCGGTGTTCTCATCATTTTCTTTTTATTGTTTATTCTATTGTTCCATTGCTTTGCTATTGTTATGGCCACACTCCTTTTCATTTCTCCGTTTTTACTGTTGTAAGCTGCCAGAGTAGCTCCACAGCGAGACAGGGGGTAAATAAATTTAACAAATAAATAAATAATTTTAAAAATGCTTCCAAAACAAACATAGCCTGAAAAACGTATGGTAATTATGTCTTTCCCATCTCAGAAAGTTCTGGTCACTTTGGGTCAAGTGTTTCCCAATTTAAGTACATGGGAAATTAACCAAAGGAAGTGTTGTTATCCCACAGGTTTTCTTGAGCAACTCATCAGGGCATCATTGCTTTGACTAAAGAACAAGCAAAGCACAATCTTTCTGCTTGAACCTCTTCTCATGCAAATGAGAAAATTATCTTCCTTGTCAGTTCAAACAGGATTCATGTCATGCAAAATCTTTGCTCCAGAGGAGTCCAAGCTAATTTAATCTAATTAAATTATATTCACAGTCATACCAATCCTTGTTATCATCTCTTATGAAGAAATTAGAGCTGATAAATAAAGATAAATCCTGTCATCAGAAGGAATGATTTCCCTTCTGGCATCTGCTATCATTATGTCCAAGACCTGCTATGTAGATGCATCAACAAAAGTGGTAGATAAACAAAGGGGAAACACCTCCTCTGGAGGTTTGCAGCACATCCGGACTTGTCTAAAAGCAGGAAGGAATTATACCTCTCCTTTATTTTTGCTTTCTGTCACACATGAAAACTACAAAATTAAAATAGATCAACTGGAACCTGTTATGAGTTCCTAATTTAAGATTAAACCCCAAGATACCGAAAGTACACAGACTTTATTATCGTGCTAACCCATCGTATGTTAAATTATAGCTATGCCACAACTAATGACTAATGGCATGACTTATTACACTTTTACATTGAACTCACCTTAAATAATCCATATTTTAGAGCTAAAAGTAATGCTTTAAAGCAGTCTTTTTTAAACTTGGCAACTTTTAAGATGTGCGGACTTTGTATTCTATATGCCATTCCAAAATTGTGGTATACAAAATTATCTGCTACAACGTCTTGCCGGTCAACAACTTCTTCAGCTTCAACCACAATAATACATGGGCAAACAAATTCAAGGTAAACCGCTTCAAACTCGACTGCAGAAAATACAACTTCAGCAACAGAGTGGTCAATGCCTGGAATGCTCTACCCGACTCTGTTGTTACAGCCTCAAACCCTCACAGCTTCAATCTCAAACTGTCTACCATGGACCTCACCCCATTCCTAAGAGGTCCGTAAAGGGGGCGTGCATAAGCGCACCAGCGTGCCTACCGTCCCTGTCTTACTGTCCCCATTTATCTGTATTTACTTCCTTTGTTTATATTTATGTTCATACCTATACTTGTTATCTTGTACATGTATAAATAAATAAATAAATAAATAAATAAATAAATAAATAAATAAATAATACATTTCAAAGCCCATTCCTCCACTCAAGATATATATGCCATGGGCAGTCTTCATCCAATTTAACTATAGTATCCTATTGATAATATATGCTTATATGCCCCCAATGAGACAATAACCCCAGATCAGAGTCTTCTGGGCTGAACTGGACTTGATCTCCCAGAATTCCCTTGCCAACATGATGTTGCCAAGCTTGAAAAAACTACTTTAAACCTATTCAAACTTAAGAGTGTAGAGTAGGCACTCCTTAGGGTAAATATGTGGCTTTTGAATTAAATGCAGTGAAGACTTAAAACTTCTCTCCCAGGGAAGCTTTTAAAAATTAAAAGCTCACATCCAGAAGGAAAAAGATTCTCCTTCCTTTTAACCTTTGCAAATTGAAACCAATTTTGAAAAGGCAAACTGCTGAGAGGGAAGATTCCATTACAGATCTTGGCTTGACCCAGTTAATATAAGGAAATAAGCAAGTCAGTTGCAAACTACAGTACACTTACAACGTAATTCAGTCTTGCCTTTCGCAAGTTTACCTCCTCCAGAGTTGTTCCACTCCCCATCCTTTTCAATAGGTCCAAGCTTCTTCTGTTCATTAAAGCAGACCAAATCTAAATTTAAGTTCATAGCACTCTTGGAGTTACTGACTACTTCAGGATATGAGTCATGCATAAAAAACCGATCGTTAATGTCACTGACAAATGTAACATGTAAACATATAGCTGCAGGAAACTTAAATGATGACTGTAGGAGCCCAACTGGATTATACCAAGGGCTTATTTAGTCCAAGTAATCCATTTATGGGAGGCTTCTAATCTGGGTGGCAGCATCAAGATCTAGCTGGCCTAATGCCGACTAGAAAGTAGGCAAGAAAAGCTATGGGGTATAGTATTAAGATATTGTATAGGTAGTCCTCAATTTACAACAGCTTGCTTAGTGACCGTTCGAAGTTACAATGGCATTGAAAAAAATGACTTATGAACATTTTTCACACTTACAGCCATTGCAATATCTCCATGGTCATGTGATTTACAGACTCACATTTATGATAGTTGCAGTGTCCCAGGGTCATGTGATCCCCTTTTGTGACCTTCTGACAAGCAAAGTCAACGGGGAAACCAGATTCACATAAACAGCCGTGTTACTTAATTTAACAACTGCAATGATTCACTTAACAACTGTGGCAAGAAAAGTCGTAAAATGGGGCAAAACTCATTTCACAAATGTCTCACCAACATAAATTTTGAGTTCAATTGTCATAAGTTGAGGACTCCTTGTCCTAGCTTCAGGGAAGCCCAGAAGTTCATAGTTACAGAGGTTCCCTGGGTGACCATGGGGCAATCACTGTCTCTCATACCAATCTATGTAGGGTTGCGGTGAAGAAAATGGAGAAAGGAATGCTATGTGCACAACCTTGAGGTCCTGAACAAATAGCAGGCCATAAATCCAAGAAACAAACAAGAGGCTGTAATAAGGCACTGGGACTAGCACTCCTGGCAGTTGCCCAATG